GAATAATTAAACATAAATCAAATTTATTTTTAGTTTCCAATTCTTTTATTTTTTGTTGAATGTTTTCGAAGGCTGAAGAACATTCTGGGGTGGATAAATCAGCTACAACTATTTCGACATTTCCAGAAGAGGCGTTTCTTTAAGAGAACATTTTTGGTTGTTTAAATATTTTTTTATTCAAGGGGAATAACAAAAAAATATGAAAAAATCTGGGAGTTATTGCTAAACGCCTTCTCTGACAATATACAAAACTCAACCATCTGAGCTATCGAGGTTGCTTTCACCTTATTTAGTAGTAGATATCAAACCCCCGCCTAGTAAACGTTTTGAATGCTAAACAGCTGGATCTCTCTACTTTCTTGCAGTTAGACAAAATAAGGAAAATAGGGAGCTTAAACGACATACCGTATTTTTTATATTAGAGCCAATGGGGCTCTATTTTTCAACTATCCTTCAAAGTGAGGCTTTATTATAGCGTGGGGCTCTAATACAAAAAATACGGTAAAACCAAAACATTGTTAGACTCTAAAGTTAAATCCGAGAGCTAGGTGGACTTTGATTAAAAGGCCAAAAAGGAAATTCACGTGAATAGGGAAAGGCGGAATTCATACGCTAGGCAATAGGAAGTTGCAAAGTGTAATCAGTGAGAAACAAGCGATAGACCCGCCTATAGAGAAGAAGCTTATAATCAAAAGGAAAATAGGGAAAAGCGCTTCAGTCGGCCTGGACTGTGAGTCACTCTTTTATCCAGTTGAAGAACATTCCAACTGAGCTTATATTATTGATTACGGTCAGCTATATGCTAGATCAAGCGGCATGTCGAAACCATTACCCCTACTTAGCTCTAACACCTCTGGGATTCTAATATCTTCCACCTTCAATTCCTCATTCTTAAATAGGCGGGCCCCTATTTAACTGGTAGCACCGGACTCCTTACCCTTCGTGGGTAAGGGAAAGGTCCGTCGCGTTCCCCGGGTCCGGTCAGTGCACGGACCGGCCCGGGAGGCTACAGTAGGGCATGGTAAATTTATTTTCCCCGGGAAGGGTGAGCATTTCCACCATTTGGGTACTTAGGTACCTACTAGCGCATTTTATATATTATTAATATATACAATATTCAACAACAAAAATATTCATATTGGCCTTAACAAAAAAAAAAATATAAAGAAGAAATTAATTATTCATATTGGCCTTAACAAAAAAAAATAGAAGAAGAAAATAATTAATCACGGCCCTACAAAAATATTTATTAATTCTGGCCTACAAAAAAGGGTGATGTTTTTCCACCTAATTCAAGTTTTCCACCAAAAGGTGATGCTTTACATTTGGGTACTTAGGTACCTACTAAATTTATTCTATGTACTACTAGCTATGTAGAATACTTAACAACAACAACAACATTTAATTAAAAAAAAAATTGTTTTAATTGGAAAATAATATAAATTCATGGTAGTTTTCTAAAAAAATATAACATAAAATATATTTCTTTATGGCTGTATTACTGTATTACTAAAAATAAGAGAAAATTTATTCAGGAACTTAAAAAGAAAAATTTTTGGCCAATTCAAAATTCTAGGGCTGATTCAAAAATTTATGGCTTTCAAAAAAAATTATGTTAGAGCCGATTCAAAACTCATAGTTTAAATCTATCTAAAATGGGACTTTAAAAAAAGAAAGAGTTTAGTTCTGTGCGTATTCATTCATCCGTTTAAATTAATTTTCCAAAAATATTTTTAAAGTTGGCCATTTAGAAATTTTACCATTATAAATCTGACCATTTTTAAATTGATTTTTTTTAAATTTGACCATTTCTAAAATTACCATTCTCAAGTTAGACCATTTTGAAAAAGACCATTTTGAAAAATCTATTATTTCTTATTCAAAAAAAAATACTTTGTGCTTATTCTCTCATCTGTCAAAAACCATAATTTAAGGCTAGACTATAAACAGAGGGTGGTTAGTGGAGAGGGGCAACCCCCAGACTGTGCAAAAAAAGTGATCTTTTGGCCTACGGCTTTTGAAATTTAAAAAAAAAAAAATTTTCGCCTTTTTAAAAATACAATTTTGTTGTTTGGCCTATACACAGTCTTTCTTACTCATAAAAATTGTTTTTGTGTTTTGCTCATTTTTATTATTCACTTTGCATTTTTAAACAATTTTTTTTGTTCTCTTCTTTCTCTAAAAGAAATAAGAATTAATTCTGCCAGTCGTGTCAGACGGAGCCGGTTAAAAATAAACCTTTTTGCATTTAGAAAAAGTCAGCCTTTTCTCATTTTATATTATTTTTAGTAAGGAAAATGAATTGATCTTTCATTTGTGTATTTTCAATGCTACATAAAATTTATTTTTATTTTTTCTCCGGAAAATATTTTTTTTTGAAAATTAATTTTAACATTTACAAAACAGTTTTTGAAATTGTAATTGAAACTAAAATTTATAAATGGTAAAAATTACAGGATCCCGTGAAAGCGATTTTGCCACATACTAAATGTTGTTAAATTAGGCTACTCCACATCCGTGTCGAGTATTTTGTCGAGTGTCAAGTGCACACTCCCACTGTTTTGTCGGGTGTCAAGTGCACCCTCCTACATGACATCCGTATCAAGTGTTAAGTATATTAACTTTCAAAAAAAAATTTTTTTGTTTGAAAAGCACTTGACACTCATTCTAGAGAGTATATGGTGCAGACTCATGAGAAACCACTCGACACGGATGACTATCAAGTGTTGATTGGCTCCCAAAAAAAATCCGACTTATATAACAGAATTTTAATAAACAATTCCTTTACTGTACTCGCCAATTCTTTCTCCATTTTTCTCTATTTTTAAAGGTTTTTGCTATTTTAAAATTTTTCTATTCTTAAATCTATCTAATTTTTAACCTTTCTCTATTAAAAAAAAGGAATATAAATAGTCTCTCGTTTTTAGTTTTTATTACAACTATTCACTCTCACACATTTTGTTGTTTTCTCTATTTATTTTTCATTTGATTTTCGCCACAATAAACACTAATCCAATTCTAATTGAAAAATAAAATTTAATAAATAAAGTAGACTGACTTTTTGGGGTAAAATGAAAAAAAGAGCCGAAAATTGAGTTTTGAAAATGAGAGAAAATTTTCCTTTAATTTTTATTCTTGTCTAAAATTTTTTTTTCTCCATTCTTAAATCGAGCTAATTTTTAACCTTTCTCCATTTTAAATCGAAAATACAAAAGAATAAAAATAGTCACTGGTTTTTAGTTTTTATTACGACTACTTTTTCTCACACACATTTTGCTGTTTTCTTTTATTTCTCACTTTATTTTCGCTACAATAAACACTAGTCCAAGTCTAATTGGAAAATAAAATTTAATATGAAAATTAAGTAGACTGACTCTTTGGGGGTAAAGTGAAAAAGAAGAGAGGGCTCATCCGAAAAATTGTCATTTTGAAAATGAGAAAAATTTTTTTTTTCTTATTCTGTATTTTGTTTATTAGCGCTTTAATTCATCTCTTACTATTTCTATACAGAATCCTCTGTTAATACCTCTTTCCTTTTCTAGTGTTATTCGTCTGTTAATAATACATACTAGTAAAATTCTATTAGAGAGAAAATTAATTTTATTAAATCCATAATTCCTAAAATTAATCAAGAAATTTTTTTTTTGCTTGTTTTGTGAATTAAATTTGATTATATTACAGGCCTAATTTCAGTCTTTTATGTATTACTGTTGTATTTTAAGTTCATTTTCAAAAAAAAAAATTCTTACAACCGGTGGGGTTCGAACCCTCGTCGCATTTTCTTTTATAGACTCAAAACCTAGTCGTTTCCAACTACACTACAAACTTAATGTTTTGCTTTCATAAATTATAAAATTAGAGCTTTAAAAATTGGTGCTTGTTTTGTAATTAAACATGTTCTGGTATCAACAAACATTTTCTAGTATCAACAACAACAACAAACATTTTCTAAATATTTGTTGTTCTTTTATTGAAAAGCAAATGGAAACAAAAACATGTCTTTATCAAGTTTTTTTTGGATTAAAAATTGCAAAACAAGCGTCTTAAGTTACTGTCAAATTTAATGGAAAAAGTTATATGCAACACTGACCATTTGAAAGCCGAGAAGTCAGTCTAGTCTTATTTTTAGTCAATTCACTTCCCAATGGAAAAATTAACGATAAGTTTTTTTACTTACAAAGAAAAGTCTGTTTAAATAAATGTTTTGTATTTCCTCTCTCAAACAATTGACAAATGTTTTTCTTTTTATTCTGATTATTCCTTTAACTGACACAGTTTCAAAAAAAACTCAACAATTTTGTCCGAAAATTTTCAATCCAATTAAAAATTTTTTTTTTACTTTCTATTTTTAAATATATGACAGTTTAATTTCCCTCTCGTAAAATTTTCGTGATTTTTTTCCACTCTCGTGAATTATCGTAAAATTTTTTCCCCCCTCGCGTGAATTTTCGTGAATTTTTATTTCCACTTACACATTGGAATGTGAAATAAGTAGTTAACCACATTTACTCAAACAAAGTCCAAAATGAGGGGTTGTGTGTGTATTTATTTAAATAAATAAATGTGTGTATTTACTTAAATAAATAAATAAGAAATAACAATAACGTGTGTGTGAGGGACAATCCGAGTTGAATAAATCCAGAGTCAATAAATCCGAAACAATCAGAATTAAACAAAGTCGAGTTGAATAAAATTAATCCTCACAGATCCCGATGTTTAAGGCCAATGCCTGGCAATCAATTTTAGTGACATTTTGGGCTATGAGTTATGGCGTTTTATAAATTTGGCGTTTGCTCTTGTGCACATTTACAATTTTTCTTCCCCTTCAGCGGAAATAATTTTGCTGAGAGATCAAAGCTCTCGCTCTCAAGCATTACAACAACAAAAAATAATAATTTCTTTTTCCTTTTGAGAAATTGCATTAATTGAAAAGCGATAAGATAAATTTATTACAAAAGCCTGGGAACGTTAACAAACTTAAGCTAATGAATAAAAAGCTTTAAACTTTTGTTTGTTCAAACTATTACAACAAGGAATAAAGTCCAATAAAATAAAAGGGATATATAAAGGGACAGATCTCACTCATAAGTCGTATTGTGTATTAAAGAAAAATCAACAAATTCTCTCTCTCTCTCAAAAAAAAACGTTCTTAACATGGGGTCCAAGGATCCTCCGAACATTGGTGCTTCGGCATCCAATATTCCAATGGGTACTTCGGTACCTACTAATTATCTTGCTAATGCTGGTGCATTATCAAGCAAATCTAATCAGACAGAAGACATCTCTGTCAATGTTGTTGACAAGCTTTTAATGTCAGGTAAAATCTTAAGTAGCCAAGCCAAGATGACTGATCTGGAAAAGGTTCATTCTGATACAATAAGGCTTGAAGAAGGAGTTAATAGATCACTAAGGGCTATAAATCGAAAGGTCAATCAAAATTCCGTAAATTTAAGCAAGCTTGCAGAGGAAGTAAACACTGGATTTGCCACTCTAGGGACACAAATCGAAAGCTGTGCTGAAAGAATGGAAGCCCGGACCAAAGAAAAATCTAGATCACTGTCACCCATAATAAGATATATAAGCCGAAAACCACAGAGCTCACCGAAAAGTAAAATATTAACATTTTCAGATGAAAGCGACGCTGCTCTAAACATTAACATCCAAAGCAACGATGACAATAGGAACGACAACATTGATCAAAATACTGAACACACTATCAATATGCTTCACCATGAAGGAATACCGCCTCTGGAAATCTACTCTGAAGACAGTCTGGTAACATTTGATAAATGGAGTAAAAAGTTTTTAGAAAGAATTAAAGTATTTGGGGCAAAACTTTCTGAGGAAGAAAAATTAAATCGACTTTCATTATTTTTAGAAGACACTCCAAAACAAATTTTAGAAAAACTAGAACCTGTTAAAAAGGCAACTGTCCAAGATGCAATTAAATTTATTAGAAAAGAACTAGATTCGCCACAACGCCGAGTGCTCTCCCGACAGGCACTCTCCTTTTGCAAACAACATGAAAATGAAAATGTCAAAGACTTTCTGGCACGCTTTAGACCTATTGCTTTAGCAACAGCAACTGATTATGAAGGTCCTGCTTTAGAACGACATTTATGTGAACTTCTACTTGAACGACTAAAGCCAAGCATCTCGTTCTACATGAAATTATTAAACTTCACGCAAACTGGTAGAAGTTTTGAACAACTATGCATGGACGCTCGAGAAGTTGAAATAATGCTCCCGGCTGTTAGTGGAAATGCTCCTCTCAATGCAACACAACATGAACACTCTCAACTGAACGCCGTACAACAAGAACAATCCAATTACATGATCAAGCCAGGTAGGTTTCAAACTTTGAATCAAACTAATCCAAACAGAGAACAACCTCGAAATGGCTGGAGATACAATCCAAACGGGTCTTATCCAAGAAACCAAAATAATTCTAGATATTTTCAGGGCAACAACCGAAGTCGACAACAAATAAGAGCACCTGACAACGAACGACGATGGAATAATCGACCTGTATGCAACTACTGTCAAAAAGTTGGACATTTTGCCGCCAATTGCCGTACCCGCTTGACTGACTACATGAACAGACAAAATGGAAATCCTCAAATGGTACAAGGTACATCTAATCAAAGCAAAGATGAAAGGTATAGTGATACTTTATTAAAAGAAATTTTAACGGGAATTCGTAATCTACAAACTTGTTCTCAAAATTCGGCTGGACCATCACAGCAAAATTTAAATTCCATTGAAGTTGGGAATAAAAAGCCAGTACAAGCAAATGAGAATAAAAATCCTTCTAAAAAGGAGTCTGAAATAAAAATTTCTTCTTGGGAATCGAAATCCATAGGACCAAAACTATTTCCTTTACTAATGCTAATTGCACTAATAACATCATGCGGCGCAACATTTAGCGTCCCGACACCTCGTATGCCTATGATTTGCCAAATGGAAAAACAATCAACGATTTGGGCATTACCACAACTCGCGCACTGCCCATCGCTAGAAAATAACGTGTCACACATACCAGTACCACAAACCAGGTCTCTATATGTTTTAAATGACTTAGAGTATACCACAGAAGGTTGGGCTTGTAGAAAAATAAAGAAATCAATTAGAAAATTTACCACACTTTCTAATGTACCTGTTAATGAGGCAATAGGTTCAGAAATGCTAGAAGTAACAAAAGAAGAATGCACGCGTATGATTAAAGAAAAGCAATGTAGTTTAGGCGCATTGACTAAAGAAAATGATATCTGGAGTACACAAAATAAATTAGATGTTAGTCCAAAAATGTGGCTACTAGGTTCCTTTTGGTGGACCACTGTATCCGTCGAAAATTGTTTATTGTTTAATTTACAAATTAACTCACACTGGGGCGAGCCTGTTATTAGAACTCCACTAGGAAGCACGAATAACTGCTCATATGCTATAGGTAACTGCACATTGGAAGATAAAACGGTCCTTGAATGGGTCCCAAATAAAAATCAATTATGTAGATATTTAAAGTTTGGGGAGTATAATGGGAAAATTTTGGACAATACTTGGCTTTCAGACGATGCACAATTAGCACTGCACTTTAGTAAACCTACTAATAAATTAACTGACTGTGGAATAGAATTAGAAGTCTCAGAACAAGGATTTGCCACAACAATAAAATCGACAAGACCTAAAAGAAGCTTAAACACTGAAAAACTGGGTATAGTAACTTCGCCTGAAATGGCTGCTGAACTAACGTATCTTGACACACAACTAGCCGAAACACTAACATTTACTTTTACTCACTCACTTAAAGCACTTTGTGACCATTTAGAAGAAGTAAAAAGATGGGCACTAGCCTCGCTTATTTCTAATCCCACTGATCTTGCAAGAATAATATTTGGAAATAATTATTTAATTGCAAAACGTGAAGGCTCCTCTTTATTAAGAATTTGGCCATGTATTGCACTAAAAGAGGAAGAATTTAATTTTATTCCAACTAATTTAGAAGAATGTTTTGAACTCATTCCCATTCAACTAACTACTGAAAATCAAACACATTTGGCGTTCTTAGACCCAACGACAATGATAGTTCAACCAACATCAAAGAAAGCACCATGTGCACAATTTAAAAATTTAATTTTAGAACTGAACCATAACACTTTAGAAATTAATCAACTAACTGGGGAAGTAAAAACGGTCCATCCAAGATTAATTAAAAAGAATGAATTAAGGGCTTTTGACATACCTGAAATTAAGGCCCACTCATTTCACCAACTAGTCTTAGTAAACCTAACAGACATTAACACTCACACTTACATGACTAACTTTGCCAAATTAAGTGAACTGTCATACCGAATTGAAAGTAAAGACATGATTATAACCAAAACACTTTCAGAACAGTGGAAGGAAGCAAGCATGAATTTAACAAAAGAAGTATTAGGTGACTATACTTGGGCTTGGAAAGTAATAGCAACAATTTTAATCTCAATCCTAACCTTAGACTTAATTATTCGTTGGGGTTTGAAAATTTTAGAAGTCTATTTAGGAGATGGGCGTTTAGGCCGACTATTAATTGGGAAAAATGTACTTAATAATACACAAAAAGCTTTGGATGCTACGGCATCTACTAATCACTCTCATGACATAAAAGAAAATGGCTTGAGACAAGAAAACAAACAAGAGGTTAAATCATGGATCCCCAAGGTATCTAAGTATCCTAGTCCAGACATAACACCGGATCAAGTAGTCAACACACTTACAATAGGACATCAAATAAATTCAGTCTATCCGAGTACCGCAGTCACAAGAATTTTAATTAATAATAAACCGCTTAACTGCTTAATTGATACTGGTGCAAGCATTTCAATTGCTCCTCTATCCTTAGCTAAATTTTTAGAAGCAAGTATAGAACCCACAAAAATAGGTATAACCTCCGCCTCAGGGCATGAAATCTCAGCTAATGCATCAATGCACGTTCTTATGGATATAAGTGGTCATAAACAAATTGCTAAAATTAATCTCGTAGAGGACAATCAATTAATTGAGAGGCGAAATTACCAATTAATAATAGGATGCGACGTACTAAAAACATTGCCGACGGTAACTTTTGACTTTCCAAAAGGTAAAATTTGGATTGGAAATAAATCACTAAACTTGGGCACAGGTAACCTACCTTTATTAACAAATGTTAGGATTGCAACTCTTGAATCTATAACAATTCCTCCAGGGACAAATAAAATAGTCAATGCGAAACTCGAAACAACTTGCGACTTTGAACATGCAATTTCACATTCATTAGATGAACGCTTAAGTTCTGAAAATCTCGGTCTAATTAGTACTGTATTTAAAGCTTCCGACAAAATTGCTAGTTTATTAATAACAAATCCAACTAACGCCCCTAAACATATTTGTAAGGGCATGCACATAGCCTATGCTAATGAACTAAAGGAAAGTGATGAAGGGCCGTGGTTAACAGAAAATACTAAAAATAATTTTAGTGAATTAAATAAATTTCGTGTACTTGAAAATATGGTTAATGCTTTAGACGAAGACCCTGCTTTTAAAATAGATTTTTCAAAAAGTTCCGTTACGGGAAATGACTTACAAAAATTAAAGGACCTATGCGAGGAATTCTCTGACATATTTAGTAAAAGTCAATATGATCTTGGGTCATGCTTAGTAGGGGAGCATGACATAATTACAACCACTGATGAACCAATTTCTACTAGACCTCACAGAGTTCCATTTAAGTATCAAGAAGAATTCCACGAACATATTGACAAATTACTTAAATCAGGGGTTTTAATTAAGTCTGATACACCATGGGTTTCAAACATTGTTCTTGTCCAGAAAAAGGACGGAGGACTCAGACCATGCATAGACTTTAGGAAACTCAACGAAATAACTGTTCCGGACCACTTTCCACTTCCTAGATTTGAAACAATTATGGAAAAAGTAGGAAGTTGTAGCTTTTATTCACTGCTAGATTTGTCCAGTGGCTATTTACAAATTAGGCTCACTGAGCGAGCGTCACGCAAATGTGGACTCATAACTGAAAATGAAATTTATCAAATGACTCACATGCCTTTCGGACTTAAAAATGCGACAAGCGCGTTTGCACGTGTAATGGCACATGTAATTAGTGGACTTGAAGATAGTGTCATAGCTTATGTAGACGACTTTTTAATTTTTACCAAAGCTCCTGAATTTGAAAAGCATCTCGATGCCCTTAGGCAAGTATTTGACAGATTAAGGAAATATTATCTGAAAGTAAGCCCGAAAAAATGTATACTAGCCTCTACCCAAATGAACTTTCTAGGACACACAATTAATTCCTCAGGCTATTCCCCAAGTCTAAGCAAAGTAGAAACAATAACAAACCTTCCAGTACCTAAAACCCTCAAGGAAGTAAGACATTGTGTTGGGATGGCTTCCTTTTTCAGAAAACACATACCAAACTTTTCAATGATTGTTGAGCCACTCACTAGACTCACACGAAAGGAAATCACATTTAAATGGGAAGAAGAACAGCAAAAAGCTTTTGAAGAAATTAAAAAGATTTTAAGCAGCGAACCAGTTCTTGTATTTCCCAACTACAATGAACCATTTCATGTTTTCACGGATGCATCGCAAACTGGACAGGGTGGAGCACTCATGCAAAAAGATAAAGAGAAAAACACTTACAAAGCAATCGCATACT